TGAGTGCTGAATGCTGATGAATGATATTAGAGTCAGTGCATCAAAATTATGAAAATTTTAACAAAATCATGCTATGAAAAAGTAGCTATAGCCAAGCCTAAAATTGCTCTCTTAAACAAAATTACGGGAGCTCTTTTTTCATATAAAATCAAAAAAGAACTTTCGTAAAAAAAGTAATTTTTAGGCTGGCAGTCACCCTTGTAAAAATTGTCGCAATTTTTGTTGTGGGCATTGGATAGGTGAAACGAGTAGCACTGAGGGCGTGACAAGGGTATATCCGATCCGACCCAAAATATCAAGTACAGACCTTCTGTTTGTCAATATCGCTTTCCGAAAACTTTATCTCCATTTCAGAACTTTGTTTTCATGCAATAATTCATCCTAGTAAGAGTAACTTCGATATTTTTGGCCATATTCATTTTGACCGGCCAATGAAATTCACGTCCGGTAGTTTCGGGTTCACTCAGAAATAATTAAGATTAACCGGACAATAGGCATAGATGGCGCGGACTATATTTGAACATCGAGAATAGCCGAAGTAACCGGAAGTGATTTTCATTGGTTGACAAATGTGAATGAAGACAGACCATTTTGGTATGACGTTTATATTTACCATTAGGTTAACAACTTGATATATTCTTAGGCTGTGGCTACGCGTCCGGACATCCATCTCACACAGTGATCTTGCGACACGTACACGCATGATTGCGCAACGGTACGCGCTGCTGATTGCCGAGTGTGTGTGTGTGTGTGTGTGTGTGTGTGAGAGAGAGAGAGAGAGAGAGAGAGAGAGAGAGAGAGAGCTAGAGGTGTGTGGGAGAGAGCTGCTGTGCATGTGTGTGTGAAAGAGAGAGAGAGCGAGAGAGGACGGATGAAAAGATAGACGGCAGCAGTGCATATATTGTATGTTTTCGGCAATCAGCAGAGCGTCCCGTTGCGCAATCATGCGTGTACGCGAGTCGCGCGATCACTGTGTGAGTGGATGTCCGGATGTGTAGCCTGGAGGCTAGGCGACCGGTTCCGGACGCGTAGCCTGGAGGCTAGGCGACCGGTTCCGGGTGCGTAGCCTGGAGGCTAGGCGACCGGTTCCGGACGCGTAGCCACTGTGATATTCTTATGTTGTGGCCGCTACCAGGACATCATAGACATAGCGTGCATGCACGTAGATAAAACATCATAAATGATTCAAGTTCAGATTAAAGTTATAAGTTCCACGCAATAGGATTGTATATATCGAGCGCATATATTACTTATAAGTGCCACCTCCAAACTGGAGGTGGCTTTCCGTGATTGAGATAAACACGGCCGCAGACCCCATTACTGAGGTCTGCGTCGGCTCGGACTAGAGTCATACATAGGCCTACAGCCAGTACAGGATACAGTCATACTCACTGACTCAGTGACTGAGTGACGAGTATAAATTAATAAACTTACCCAGAAGATTGCATTGAATGCAAAAACGAGATACTTTATACAGCAGCTAACTTCGCTGCGATCTCGTCTTGATCGTCTCATGGCTGGAGCTTATGTGTTTTTCACCCCACAAAAAGAAAGGGTTAGTCTTTCAAGAAATCTCCATTCTTTAGTACAAGCTCCTTGTTTATGGATAGAATGACGCGAGATCACGTACAAGTGAACAGCAGTGCAAAACTAATCATGGCGCCCCCCACAAATAGTAACAAATGCTCTTCAGATTCATTCATACAGTCAAGCTTGACGAAAAAAATATTATTTTCGTACATACCCTTGGCAGGAGCAGCTAGCTACCAAGCATTCTCTCTCAATGTAGTGAATCCAAAGTTTCTCAAGAGGTATGGTGAACTGTGACGATTACGATTTATCAACTTTATGCATTGCCATTCGTGTGGTGTGTGAACCGTCCGTGGTGAAAACACGCTCTTGAAAAAACAACAACGCAGAATGAGTTTATGTTCGTTCTTTTTTTATATGCAATGGACTGAAATATTTTAATATTTTCTGTGAATATTTTAAGGAATATTAATTCGCCAGTCCACAAAAATAAAGATTTATTGCGCTACTTTATAATTATAGTGGTGCTACTGCTAGTTTTGTAGCAATGCCGCGTGTAAGTTATAATAATATTAATATAAGTATACAACGTTATATAGCATAAACATGTGTGCTAGTATAAATACGTACATGGTTATAGTAGTTATAAACTGGAGAAAAATGGTAAAACGATATCACACGGCAGGCAAACAAACCGCCGAACTTTGCCACGACATTGGATCACCCATTCTCGTAATCAATAAACATTATTTAACCCAATCGAATCTGTCGTTGCAGCGTCTTTCCCAACTGGCACTTTGGCGTGACGAATGCGCTACTGCTGAACGCACATCTCGGCGTGGGCCTGTACCTGTTCAGCCGGCCACACATGGCATGCTCCACACACGCGATGTGCCCGCGCGTCGCATACAGTGTCTTCGGAGCTGTCATGTTCAACTTCGGCTCGGTGCTGCTGTGGGCGACGGCGAAGACAGTGGTGCCACCTTGCACGACCGCGAGGGCGCTCTTTGCTCTCGGATCTGGTGCGGGACTGCTCTGGGTCGGCTATCGATACGTGAAGATGCTGGATGAGAATGCAACGCGAGACGTCTGAGACGCTCTGAGACGCGGCTGGCTGCGCCGTCTCCGCTGCAGGGTGAGACGGATTTGTCGGCGCTCCAGAATGGACGTCGGTAGATCTAAGTGCCGTCGGTTTGTGGTCGATCGCTAGTTGCAATCTAGTACCACTTGTACTCAGTACTTCCCCTTGTTCGTTTTTTATCCTCCTTTTCATCCTCCTCCTCCTCCTCTTTCTCCTCCTCCTCATCTTCCTCCTTCCCTTCCTTCTTCTCCTCCTTCTCATTCCTATTCTCCTTTTCCTTTGTTTTCTCTTTCTTATTTATCTTGTTTTTCTTTTTCTTGAGCATACCTACCGACGTTGACTCATGAAGTGCAGGAACTATAGCATTGCATGGCTTTGGAAGGAGCACTTTGGTAGAACACAGAAGGCCATTTACTGTTTGGAAAGGTTGTGAGATCGCAACACGGCGTGCACCAAAATAATACCAGTTCAGTGTAAGTGGTATGAGGAGTAGAGTTACGTAGGAATGCATCGTTGGAAACATCAATCGTATTTTTGCCATTGTTCACATCACATGCCGGTGGGACATTCTTTCTTAATGATGTATTTTGTTACTTGAAAGCTGGAAATTTAGCCGGGGTTACTGACAGATGCAGGTGAGAGATTTCTGGCATGGGTTTTTAAGTGCAATCGATAAAAATGTTATGATATTATTGATAAGCCACTTTGACCACGTATTGTCTCTGCAATGTTGGGGACATCTTGAAAAACAACACTTTCTTAAACATTCTCTAGTTAAAACTAGTTATGATAATCTTTACTATTTGTTGGAACACCTGGTGTTATCTGCCTAATTTCATATAAACTAAAATGGCTTTTGAAATTATATTACTGCGTTTAGACAATAAAAGGTCTTTTTAAGTCGAAAAGAATTCATTTTGTGTTGTTGTAAATTCGTGTTTTGTCCTAACCTAACCTTTCGCTAAATTTTAGGGTATACATATTGTAGCAATTACATCGAGTCTGTCGTTACATTTCAATTAAATTCAGATAGGGTGCGTTCGTGTTAGTAAACTAATTTATTTCTGAAATAATGAAAACTAAACCATGCTTATACCTAAATTATATATAAACAAATAATACTCTTACAAATCTGTAGCTAACAATACCCTGCAAAACTAGTGGTACTAATATTCATCATGAAAATATATCCAATCTGCCTCAAACATGCTACTATAAAACGAGTTTTGACCATTAATCAGCTAATTAAGAAATGCACACATTTATATAAGGGATCAGAATGATCCCTAGACTTATGTATGAATGAACATTTTCAACACTTACAGAAACCTCATGCACGTGTTTTCACGAAACTAGTGCCATAAACAATTTCGATGAGTGCAACATACACTTCCCACATTTCAGCCTGTTCTGCTAGCATGTATGACAAATACGACATGCATATATACGCTTTCCTACGACACTATTTGTCATAGGAAGATTCTTCCTATGACAAATATTGTTGTATGTGTTGTGCGCATTATAGGAGTTTAGGAGCGCTATTATGAACGCAAGCAGTGAATTTCAGCTGTAAAGCGGAACAAAGTTGACTCGCCAATATTTGTCATAGGAAGAATCTTATGAAAAAGATCTTAAGAAATTAAGATATAATTGGAGCTATATGTGGGGCCGCAGCTGCTAACGCTCTTATACAAACGGAAATTTAAAAAATATGCCTAATGAATGTAAATGACCCTAAAAATAAAACTAATAAAAATAGAGCGAAATGCGGCGAAATTATGAATTCCAATCATTCTCGGGTTATCCGACTATAGGGAAACATGGTAAAATTCGACGACAGCCTGCGTATCTGCGAATTGCAGAACGGCATCTTTATCGTACTGCCGACGGCGATATGCACATAATATAATGCTGGACATAGTCTCCGGTCGACGATTTTACCGTCCGCACCTGTTATATAACATCTACCGCTCTTTTTAGCTGGGGGCGCCACCATCCAATGGCATTAAGAAATGCTATGTTGAATTCTGACCTCGTAGCGCCATCTAGTGGGATTGGCCTTCAGAAACATTGATATTACACAAATATTTATTTTACTTTCTACTAATTTTCTTTTAATGCATAATTGCAATAATGCGTAATTTGTAAATCATCACCAATTAAGTCGTGGAAACCAGCTTTACAGACTGGTGGATGCACCAGAGAGATAGTTTCGCTACATAACCGTTACTTAATTTAAGGCAAAGACCAAAATTTCCCTTCATAGAGAGGTCTCCGTTCTATGGTATAGATATCGTTATTTAATGACGTTTATTCAACGTAAATGAGCCAATGTGTGCCGAGTGTTTTATGTTTCGAAATAATGTTCCTATTTCAATGTGGCAGTTAGGGGGGAATTAAATAGCTTCAACGTGACGATGCAGTCTCTCTGACTTAATATCGGCATAGCAGGGAACACATGGCGTGATGCTGCGAGCAAAGTGAATATTATAGACCGGATTCTACAAAACACACGTCATGCGCAGTAACTCACTAAATAACGGATATTTTGATGCGAAAACGTATTTAAATTTTACCCGTCTGTAGATTTATTGGTTAAAAGTCTATTGAAATATGGTTCTTGTAAAAGATCGTACGACGCCATAGGTTGCAGGGTACCCCGGACATAATGTTTCTGGCAGCATTCTCTCAGATACATGTATGTGTGTATATTTGTTGGAAAACTCGTTATTTTAACAGATACTGGGCATATGCAAGCCAGGATATGGCCGCCTGCCACATTAGCAAATATTCGAGAATTTTATCTATGTTCCACTGCTTCCCTACTTCCGTCTCCGCTGCAGGGTGAGACGGATTTGTCGGCGCTCCAGAGTAGACGTCGGTCAATCTA